TAGGGTTTTTGGGGTTTAGGGTTTTAGGGTTTAGGGTTTTAGAGTTTAGGGTTTTAGGGTTTAGGGTTTAGGGTTCCCGGCTGGTTGCGAGAGTCCTGGATGCAAAAGGGTTTAGGGTTTAGGGTATAGTATTTTTCAGCACGGGCTTTGATTGTATGCCGGCAAGCTGGACTCTCAAGGTTTTCAATCAAAGCCCGTGCTGAAAAAGGGTATAGTATTTGTAATATTTTGTATATTGCTACAACGGGAATGACAAGAACGATAGAGAGTCAGTAAGAGCGACATCAATAATATGAAGTATGAACAAATCTTGGGGCTGAGTAGGTAACCTTTAACCTTTTGGGGCTTATATAAACCTATTATAGGTTCAAAAGGCTAACCTTTTTTGGGCTAGAGTACTCGGCGCGTATTGTTATAACAGGAATGACGAGAATAGTGAGTCAGTAAGAGCGACATCAAGAATATCAAGAAGAATAAGCAATGGCAATAGGAATAGTGTCAGGGGACGTGGGTTTCAGGAGATCTTGAGCACTGAGCTCGCATGACTTTGCATTGCACAGATCCTTTCTGCCGGTTGCAAGGCTCTGTGCTGGTGAGGGCTTTGGGCCTGAATCGAAGGGATCATCCAACAAAGATTGGATTAGGAGCGGCATGGTCGTGCAGGAAGGACTGTCAATGTGAAACACCATTCTTCTATGTCGTCGGCATGCCAGTTTCTGGTTCAACCGGTACGGAATCAACCACACCTGACCTGCCACGCCCATCCTTTTCTGCCCTTTCCTTTGACCGGCTCAACCTTAACATTTGCCGCCGAATACAACCTCTCGGAAAGCAGGGATACAAGTATATGCCATATTGAGAAGCCCGCTTTCAAGTTGCCCTCATCCCAGGACTGCTCAGTACCCGATTCGTCGCCATGCATTTCACCGAGCACTTGGGCGCAACTCAGGGTCTTGGGTTAGTCTGTACAGGGTCCTCAACCAACGGCTGCATCATTGCAGTACTATTGCAGCCATCTCATACGTTGACCCACCGAAGTGTTGCCCACTGGGTCAACATACGGCTCCTCCAGCAAAAACGAGCGCGCAGAGTCGTCTTACCCTGAGGCTCCCACACGGCCTCCACGGCATTTTCGGACCTGCCACTTCCGGACAGCTACTCGGAATCACAGGTGTTCGGGAGGAAGGGCAAGATTCAATGGCATGCAGGTTATTGCCAATCATTATCATGTACTGCAAGCAGTCTGAGAACCGTTTCCGTCGGTGAACTTGCGCTGATTTCGAAACAGCACTGAAGGCAGCCAGACTGCCAAAGTCGCTGTCTCCCAAGAGACGGAAGAGGCCCGGAAGCAGCATGACTCTTGCTTCATTGAATTCCACATGGGCGAAGATTATACATACGATTAAGTTTACGACCTCCTTGTTGAAACACGCCTTTGAAGTGTTTCGCAGGACCCTTCCGGCGCAGGGACTGCGCGCGTCCATCCCAAACCCTGAAGCCCTATTTGCTAAGCCCTAATATGGGGCCTCAATAATCACCAATACTATTCTGGGGGTTCATTGATAAAAAAAATTATACCTCCAAACCCTGTTCGAATTATTAAGGCCCCTAATACCCTAGCCCTAGCCCTTGAAGAACCCCTAAAGGAACCCCCAAACCTTAGTCTGATTCTAATTTTCTAATTATTAAGGCGCCTAGCCCTACACCCCAGGATCACAGGCGGCTTCAGACCCGAGGACAAGCCCGGGACATGGACCGAAGAAACAGGGTTTAGGCTTAGTGCATTGCAGTCCCTGCTCAAAAAAAGGGTTGTAATCTTGGTGCGATTCTGTTGATGCCTGCCACCTTCCCCGGCCGGCGTCCCAAGCCCGGATGCAACAGAGGGTTTACAACCCTAAACCCTAAAGTTTACAGCGTTCACTTCATTTCGCACCAATCTTTCGCCTTAAAGGTAGCCTAAACCCTAAAGTTTACAATGTGCAGATTTTCGTAGGACCCAAAAACAAAAGAAACCATGAAGTTTCGGCAGGGGAGCATAGGTCATAGAGTGTCAAAACAGAGCTCTCGAAAAAGCGAGGCTGATCAGATATGCCGCAAAATATACCCCAAACCTATCCATATTATATTTATATATATATATACTAAAACTATGGAGGCCCCCTATCTATGTCCCCATGTGAAGGCGCTTGAGACGGCCGCGGACCTTCTGGGCCTCACGGGGCTGGGCATCTCCAAAATCCTTAAGCTCCCGGCCTTTGAAGAAGAGAGCAGGGCTTTCGGGTTACTGCACCAAACCCTGAGCCCTAAACCCTAACCGGTTTAGGGTTTAGGGTTTAGGGTTCTGATACTAGTAACAGTCATGGTAATAGTCATCATATAGGAATAGTAACGATAATAGAAAATGATAGAAGAATGACATAATAGTAGGAATAGTAGTAGCAATAGTAGGAAGATCACGACGAGCAATTAGAAGGAATACTGAAGAATAAGTATCATCAAGAGGGCTCCTTGAAACAGTTCCGTAAGGGTTTCTATGATGGTTTTTGGAAGGGTTGAATATAGATTCTTTAAAACATAACCACCAACGTTATTCTTCAAGGCTTCTTCTTATCATTATACCGCAATGCCACAATAATATACGCAACAACCTCTAATGATTTCACCCCTTTAGTAGTATCATGATTTTCTGATGTTATTTTTAAAGTTGTATCCTAGTCTATAGAAACGGTCCGGAAGAGACTAGCAGAAAATTGCACAAGACAGTTTTCTGCCAAGGCCTACCCAAAAATCTACTCACGACTGAAAGCTACAAAGCTCTGCGTACGGATGCGTGTATATATATATATACACACATAGATAGATAGATCGATGGATAGAAGCCTAGATGGCTATAAATAGCTAGATAGACAGACAGGTAGGTACGCAGACAGGTAGCTAGGTCGGTGGCCAGGTAGATAGGTACATAAGTGGATAGGTAGGTTGATAGGTAGATAGAGATAGATTCTGCGTGCGTGTCGTTTGTTTGTGTGGTCATGTCGTCGCTGCTGTCGGCTTCTCATACAATCAGTGTTTACTTCATTTCGCAAAGCTTTCAATCGTTTACATACTGAATAGATTGATCCCGTGGATTAGTCATTAACTTAGTTTGAAGGCCCTCGTGGTGTGAGGTATCAAAGGTTATATTAGTATGAAGAGAGAACCGAAGCATTGGCAACAGGATTCGCCTTTTCAATAACTCTGGTGGGATCAGTGGGCGAGTTTTTTCTGCCACGCTGTGCTAGACCCATACCTATCAGCCTTTAATGGCATGTGTCTTAGCAATCTCTAAACCCTCAACCCTATTCCCTAAACCCGAAGTTTCAGCAAGGAATGCTGGAGGCACCCTTCCCTCAGTGCAAGCAGATGCTATGCCGACCAAGGTTCCGTGAAATGCGCGTCAACAAGCAAGGACGGGGCAATCTGCCGAATGAATCCTGGTCTTACCTGGGCTGCACGCGGGGTAGGGGTTGTTGCGCATGCCCAGGTGCAGAGGTAGGGATATGTAGGGATGGACCTACATCATCCACCATGATGTGTGAGGGTTTCGTTTTGCTGACCTCATGCTTGCCGCTGCTAGTAATTTACAAGGTGGTTGACAGTGCATCAGGGCCCATGATCGGAGTTGCGCGCTGGCAACGGAGCAGTTGTTTGGTCTCCCTTAAATAAACATCATAACGTGCTTCCAAACAGGTTCTTACATGACCTTGCAGACATGATCTGTGGGACGTCTATGCTGTCAACAGGACGCACATCGCACATCAAGTGCCCCCGCAGCCTTGCACAAGCACGCCAGACGCTCCAGTGCATCATCAAGGTGCTCAAGACACCAAGACTTAACACCAGCAGTCATCGCTGCACAGTGCTGTAATTGCAGAGGACTGACGCAATATGCTGCAGTTTGAAGCCCTTTTGCAGACTTGTTTCGCGTCCTGTGGCGACGTAGTGCAGTAATTGCTGAAACTCGAGACTCACGAAATCCCAGTCGACATGGACAGTCCTTGAGTAAAGGTGCTCTACAAGCGCATGTTCGACAAGATTGTGGCAAAGATCAACGAAGTCTCCAACGCGAAGTTTCATCCGGAGGTCTCGTACAACAGCCGCTCCTCTTGCAAGCTGGGGATACCCTTTGTAGACCCCGACCCTAGTCTAGTGGCCTTAATACTTAGCAGTAGTATGCTCTGATGGTCCGTAGTAGAAGTATGCCAAAAAAACTCCTAAACCCCATTCTGAGCTTATCATACGGTTGATGATATAAATCCTGCTTTACCCATAATAAGGAATATATGCCATAGTTCCCATAGTTTAGGGTCCTTAAAGGCAATGCTAAGGGTTTATGTCATCAACAGTATCATCGGGGCACTTGTATTAGAGTGTCGAGGCATTGGGACCCTGGACATCTACGGCTTCGAGCGGCTGGAGCTCAACAGCTTCGAACAGATGTGCATCAACCTGGCGAACGAACGCTTGCAGCAGTTCTTCGTGGAGGAGGTGCTGGGTTTTGTAGGGTTTACAGAGATTCCAACAGTCGTTTTGGGCTGGAGCTGTACTATAGTTTACGTTGGTCGCCGTTCAGATCAGAAGATTGGTAAAGACCAGCACCTCTCAGTCTTTGATGCGTATGGCCTGTATGGCAATAGAGAGAGAGCTAAGGATCGATCTTTGCAAGGCTGTTTCTTATTGCAGGAAAGTTGTTGTCAGGTGTTCACTGAAGGCACAGCAGGGATCCGGTGTGTGGACGTTGAAAGGTTGCTGTATAGAAGCAGGACTATTGCGCAAGGCAACTGTGCTCACGTCATATGACTTACGTTGTTTGCTTTTGTTGCTTATAGTTTATGTTCGCTTTGGAAAAGTCCAGGGTCAAGCAGTGTAGCAACTTTGTGGCCCTTATCGTCCTTATACCCCAAAACCCTACCTACGATGTGGGTAGTTCTCTAAATTAGGGTCCCGTTTTTCGGTCCCCAATATAGTACGGCACCCCTATAAAGGGACCCTAAAAGGGACCCGAATTTAGAGAACTTCCCATGTAGGTCTAGTAACTTTGGGATCCCTTTATAACTTTGGGATCCCTTGGTACCTTTGGGATCCCTTTGTACCTTTGGGATCCCTTTGTACCTGTGGGATCCCCTTCCAGCAGAGGTCCTCCAGGCGGAGCAGCGGATGTACGAGGAGGAGCGGCTGACGGTACTGGAGATGGACCTGCCAGACTCCACTCCCGTGGTTCTGAGCGTCCAGAAGCTTTGGAAGAACAATAGTACACAAGTTTACATACATACACACATGTGTATTCATATATGTCTCTCTCTCTATATATATATATACACACACATGCACGTGTGTGTGTGTGTGTAGCCTTATTGTGTGTGTGTGTGTGTAGAAAGGAACATATACATATATATACACACATACTATGTACAAACGTAGAGAGCACATTCGTAGCTCGACAGACTCCTTCTGGTGCTTTCCGGCAGTCCGTCTCGCAACCTGCTGCCAACCTTCCTTCGCCAGCTTTGCCAGAATTTCTGGCATCCCGTCTTGAGGAACGTCATGAAGCTGCTGGACGAGCACAGCCTGCGGGCCATCAAGAATCTCGTGCGCACGGGTCCGAAGGACGACAAGGATGCCAAGTTCTGCGAACAGGTTCGGCGGACAAGGGCCGTATAGGATGTCCTGCGTCGCTGCATAGGCCCAGGCTTTGTGTTTCTCCATTGGACTCATAAAGGCGTATGGACAACAAGAAACCCACACTCTTGCCTCGTGATGTCTCGTGAGTTGCGCGGTTGGCTTAATGCTGCTAGGATAGCAACGAACGGCGGACCTCATTTGGCTGAGTCCGACTGCGACAGAAAGAGTCCTAGACGTCCTAGACCTAGAGTTGCTCCGTGTTTAAGCCTTGTTCAGGTCCACCGCGAACTGATCCGCGATCGCCAGTGTGGACCGGTCCTGCCACTGAAGCTGAAGGCCCAACCAGTAGCAACAGCGGCAGTACCAGTAGCAGTAAGAGCAGCACTAGTAATGGTAATAGTAGTAGTCGTCTGCCACTGAAGCTGAAGGCCCAACCAGTAGCAACAGCGGCAGTACCAGTAGCAGTAAGAGCAGCACTAGTA